GCACGCGCGCGCGCGCGCGCACGCACACACACACACACACACACACACACACACACACACACTCTCTCTCTCTCTAAAAAATGGTGAGTTAAACACAAACCCAGCGATTGTTTTGGCCCAGCCTTCTGGGTAGTTTTATTTAACTCAGCTATTGCTAAAAAAAATTAACTTGCTTAAAATGAACCCAAAGTAGGTTGGAAATTAACATTTATTAATATGTTCAATAAATGAACATTTCTTAATAAGTTCTTAATTATTAATAAAAATAATAATTAAATAATAAACATTTTAAATAGCTTATTAATAAATGTTCACCTTTTTTTATTATTGCTCATGCCTCTAGTAATTATGTGTCTGATTTTTTATTTATAACCTATTGTGGGTTCATTTTAAGCCAGCCATGTTAAAAAACATTAAAAACTTGTGTTTGTGTATACTGTATAACCACATACATTCATATATGTATACATACTGTATGTATGCATGTACAGTATGTACTAGCAATAGATGTACACATGATATATATATGAAAAGTATTTCCTTATATAAAATCTGAATTACTGAAAACTTTTCCATGACATTCTAATTTATTGAGATGCACCTGTACATAATATATCCAAAGATTAAAAGATTTTCCTCAATGAGGTTTGAACAATCCAAAATTCTATTTTTACTCTAATACGTTTTATAAAAATGAAAAAGAATGTGCAAATATGAAAGAACGACGGAAAGTCAGTCAGTCACTCCTTTGGCTGTATTTCAAAAGCCTGATTGCTAATCAAAGGCGAACTGTTGGACCTGAGCTTACCTGCAGCACAAGAAAAGCTTAATGCACATGATTACTGATGCCTTGCCTTTCCAGAGTCTCCCACAGAGAGGTGGCCTGATTGTCTAGAACAAGGCACAGAGTTGCTGAGACACAGCCTCTGGTTTGCTCTGAATCCAAAATATCAGGGAGGGAGCAGAAATGGCTCCCCTCTTTCATGTAGTCAGGCTGCTAGGTACTGTGGGTTGGACTGGTGGGCATGCTGTCAGTTATCCGTGTTCTCCCCCTGCTGTTTGCACATGGTACAGTATTCCAAAAGAAAAGGCTTGGAAATAAGGAACATACGGTGGCCGAGAAGTGCAAAGCAAATCACAATTCTGAAAACAAAATTTTTCACCGTAGGAACTGTAGGTGAAAAATAGGTGTTCACCGTAGGAACACCTTGACGTTATATAACACGATTTTTGTAACACAATAACACAAGCATCAGTTGGTCTTTCCATAATTGATGTTAAAGAGGTGTTAAAGACAATTTGCCAGGATATGTACTGCAGAAAAAAATAAAAATACTGGAACACTGAGCCTGTGAACAGAAACAGAAACAGATTAACTGCCTATTCATAACGGTACGCCTCTATTCACAAAGCAGCAAGAGGTTGAGAGCATCGCGCCGCAGAGATATGGATGATTTTAAATTAATGGCGAGTTTTTGAAGGTGTGCTATGCCCATTGCTAAAAGTTAACATAAAATGTTAAATAAATAGCATGACCAAAGGCAGATAGTAGCATCTCTGAATGAGTGTGGCTGCGTTGGCAATTAACATTCGAAGAGAGTATGCGTCTTTGAGGCAGAGTGACCTTGGAGGCAGACAGAGAGGAGAGCCGCTGAGAGAGAAGATAACGAGGCAGACCAAAGACACGGAGCAGAGGTGAATTTCAACACCAACTCAGTATGAAGGCCAGCTGTGTACGAGGGGAACAGAACAGTGAAGATAAATTGGTGGAATTCTCCATTTGTCCTCCCACATTTTCTAAATATCAAGGTAATGAAAAGAGCCAGAGTCCAGCGTCATTGAACAGTCATTAAAATTTTATGAACATTATATACAAAATACTGCAGTGGAACAAGTTGAGATAACTTAATTAGCCACACTTGACAGTCAGGCCGCTATGTAAGCAAGCCTGAGACGTCGCTGAACTGAAGGTAGTCCTCAAGCAGTGTGGGGACGGGCAGCTGTTTGATGAAGGACGTCTTAGACAGAGCACTGCTGCCCACCGCTGCCCGCACTGCCAGTCTGCACAGATGGGTGAGGACAGGGACTGATTCTGGAACCAAAGGCAAGAGGTTACTGAGCTGTGGCCATTTACCCCATCAGATGATACAGCTATGGAATACAGTAACACAATGGAGCTGTTTTTTTTCAACAACAAAAAAAATCATTGGTGACATTTAACAATACTTTCATTCAGCAGGGATGCACTGAATTGATCAAAAGTGACAGTAAAGTTTTTACATTGTTACAAGAAATTCTGATTTCAAAGGCTGTTTCGTTTTTAATGTTCTATTCATAAAGAATCCTGTAAAAAAGTATCATGATTTCACAGGCATAAATGACATTAAAATACTAAATTAAAATATTTCACAATTTCTGACAATATAAATGAAGCCTTTGTGCGTGTGTGTGTGTCTGTGTATGTATGTGTGTGTATATATATATATATATATATATACATTTTCAATCAGCCATCTATTTTACATAGATTAAATAGTTAAAATAATCATGGAAGAATGATATTTTATACAATATAAAAATACATAGCATTAAACTGCAACATTTACCAACAGATATTCGTAACAAAGCATTTTAATAAACATTTTTGTTAAAATTTTGAGCGGGTTAATGGCTAATCTGTGGGATTTAAATTGCTTTGTTGAAACAAAAAATAAATCGAGCTTATCAACTATAATGCAGAAACACTTTAGGAAACTTAATGGACATAAAAAGTGTAGTAAAAATCATTCACGGTGTTTCTTAAAGGGACAGCTCACCCAAAAATGAAAATTTTGTCATCATTTACTCCCCCTCATGTTGTTCCAAACCTGTATGAGTTTCTTTCTTATGTTAAACACAGAAGAAGATATTTTGAAGAATGCTGGTAATCAAACAGTTGATGGTCCACATTGACTTCAGTAGTATTTCTTTCCCTACTATGGAAGTCAGTGGGGACCAACAACTGTTCGGCTCTTCAAAATATCTTCAACATAAGAAAGAAACTTGAGGGTGAGTAAATGACAAAATGTTCATTTTTGGATGAACCGTTCATTTAATTTCATATCACCAACAAAATAACTGCGAATATATTGTAAATATTTGATATATGCAACATTCTGTTGGCTACATAAAAAAAAAACGCCTAAACAATGTCATGAAACCCACACATACATTAATATGATTTAAAGTGTACAGGTCATACCGAAATGCTTCCGTGGAGTCCAGGTGCCATCTGCTCGACGGTGAGAGAGAATCTGAAGCATTGAGGAGGGCAGAGTCTTCCAATTAATGAACTCCAGAAAGAAATTAAGCACTCTGTTCTCAGCTTCTTCAAGCCTGCACCCAATTAGAGCATAACAGGCAGAAGTGAAGAGCTTAACACAATGCTTTTTAACTCTGACGTTAATAAAGCACAATCATTTATTAAAAGGCACGCATGGTGAATCCACTCTTGATAAATCCTGCTTTGAGCAGCAGGGGGAGCCAGAAAGATGCACTCTGCATCTCACCAATGGCTCTATGGGCCAGTTCTTCGAGTCGGTCACCCCGAGGAAGGCCAGCGTGCTCTAAGATCAAGGGAAGGTGCTCTGGTACGTGGCCTTGTAATGCAAAAGCATAGATGCCCATTCTCACATGGGCCCCTGCTGCCAAGAGCATCAGAGTGATTTCACGAATCTGGTGACACTCGCTGTTCAAACTGAGAGACAAACAGGACAAACTGCATCATACTGTCCAACTGATTGTGTTTAAAATAAAAAAGCGGGACACAAGTGTACATCTATGTCATACTTCCAAGAGTTGCACCACAGAGCCATGTCCAAAGGGCAGCTGTAGCCAAACTGTCGACAGCTTTGGGCGTCTGGACTGTAGCCCTTCTTTAGCAAGGCCCGCAGGCTGTCCGCTTGTCCGCTAAGTACTGCCAAATAAACTGGACTGACCTTTCCCTCGCCCCGGTCACATTCTCGCTTCGTTACCGGAATCAGCTTCTCTAAAATACTACAGAGAACGACAAGAGATGAGCATCCAGATTAATGCGGTTTAACAAAATTGATTTCATAAAGGCCAAAGTTACACTCTTTTAAGAAGGTTAGCTTTCAAATGTGTTTATCATTATACTAAGTAACTGTCGCATGGTCTTCGTAACCATTTGACAGACCCAGTACGTCATTGACCGAACTGCCATACCTAAGACGACTGAACTGGGCCGCAGCATGGATGGGTAGCTGCCAGCAGTCCTCATTGCAGTACAGGTTGGGGTCAGCTCCATGGGCCAGTAAAAGCTCCACACACCATACGTGGCCCTCCTGAGCGGCAATGAGCAGCGGCGTGGCCAGATCGTTTGCCTGGCAGTTCACAATCGCCCCTGTGGCAAAGACCACCTGTGCTTAGGCAACCAAACTTATACTCGACTGCAGTGTGGCTTCTGCTTTCTTCATTTAATAAGCAATTAGGTCAATGACAAAAAATGCCCACCATAAAGAAAATTAATCTTTTAAAAATATGGCATGTTTTTAGAAATGTCATCTTGTATTTTCAAGAGAAATGTTATTATAATAACTCTAAAAATGGAACACACAAAAAAAAACTTACACATTTTAATTATTATTTCCAAAAATATATTTTTCATAATACAAACATTTATAAACATACACTACTAAATGTGGGTTTGGAAGGTTTTTTGTTGTTTTTGAAGGAAGTCTCTTATGCTCAACAAGGCTGCATTTATTTGATCAAAAATACAGTAAAAAGTAAGATTAAATCATTAGTTCAATTTAGAAATATTAAATATTGTAAATTTTTAATTTATATAAATATAAATAAAAATATAAATAATAGCTATAAGTTATAATAAGTATAATACTAAGTAGTTGTGAAGCTTAATATTTTTGTGGTAACAGTGATACATTTTTAAGGATTCTCTGATTAATAGAAAGTTTGAATGAACAGCATTAATTTGATATATAAATGGCTTTATTGTCATGTTTGATCAATTTAACATTCTTGCTGAACAAAAGTATTTAACTAAAAAAATGTATTATATACATTTTTTTTTTTGGAGTCATGACATTTTACAACATAAACTAACCTTGCATGTTAATAAAGAATTTCAATATCTGTTCTTTTCAGAGAATTACTGACCTGGACAAAGAGTCACAAGGGTCTGCAGGGGTCTTTACAATATTATTGTATTCAAGTTTCGGTACGTACGAACTGCATTTTTGAATAAATTAATAGATCTGCATGGCATTGACCCTTACATCAAACTCTTCAAAATCTGCCTCTGAAGAATGCGTCACTGTGAATAGCAGTGTGGATACAGTAGCGATAACTCTGATGTTGCAAGACTTAACACTGAACATTGATCAAAGCATGTAATGTACAAAAAGGGAAGCATATCATGACTGGCTAAATGCAGCATGTACAGGGTTAATCATTAAAGAAATGTCCTCACCGGCATTTGCAACAATCTCTAAGCATTGGTGATGTCCATATTGTGCAGCAACAAATAATGGTGTGATCCCATAGTCATCAACTGCCTCCAGAGAGCACATGCTCACCAGGTACCTCACAATCTCTGTATGACCCTGGAAATGGTTTTACAAATATTTATTTCGTCACCTTTTTAATGGAAGACTTTGATAACTGCCTTAGATGTAGGATTTAAAAACTTGATTAAATTAGAATAAGCAAAATGGCCTTGGGCTTTCATTATTTGAAGCTTAATTAAACATTTAGAAGTATAACATTTATTGAAAGAGGTATACATTTAAAAGTAGTAATCATGTGATTGTTGTGATGTGTTTTTTCCTGATGACAACTAGCTGATAAGCATTTACGGTTAAAAGTGAGTAAGAAGAGCTGCAGAACATTTTAAGGCATGTGAATGTAGTATGTGTGCAATTTTTGATGTTTCCAAAACATCAATCTTAAATCAGAGTTGTAGATTAAAGCTATAACCTTGTAAACAGCTTGATGGAGACAAGACCAGCCTGACACAGAGTAAGTCCCATTGACTTCTGCCCTATTTTCAACCAGCAGCTCCACCACATCTTTGTGCCCACTATCTACAGCTAGGAACAAAAAAATGAGACAAATACATAAGACTCAAAAGAGGAAAAATACACATGGTTAACATGATATGAGATTGTGATCCTAGGTACTTTGAGTTTACCTGCAAAGAGGGGACAGGAGAGTTCATTGGTTGTCCTGTTAATGTCCGCACCACCCTTGATAAGCCACTTCACTGCCCGGAGGTGTCCATTCCTCGCGGCAAAATAAAGAGGAGTCTCTGAGTTATGCGTCAAAGTGTTGACGTAGTCTTCGCAATTGACTGAAGTGAACAGGGACATACAACTAATGAATTGCACATTAGAGAAAAAGATACAGTCATGTGCTGTATCTTAAACAGTTTTATAATTACTAAACATACTAATGTGTCAAAAGAGCTCTGATTATTGGTCTTACAGGTGATCTTTAATAGTTCACCTAAAAATGATATTCTGTCATCATTTACTCATCCTCCTTTCATTAAAAACTGTATTGATTTTATTTACCGATTGTTTCTTCTGTGAAAACAAAATACATTTTGTCATTATTTTAAACACGTCTCTGTAGTTTTTATTCATTTTAACTACAGTTTTAGTTATTTTAGTACTTCAAATGAAATTAAACAAAAATTAGAAATGCGGCATTGGCAACTAGATGAAATAAAATTATTTTAAGTGTTTAATATTTTATTGCAGTTAATCTTTATTTTATTTCAAGTTACAAAATTGTTTTAAAATAGTTTTGGTTAACGATAATAATAATATTCAGAGAAAAAAATCACTTGTTTGTCCCATTTTCATTTCTTACACACAAAACTATCCTATAATATGATAAATGCTAAATGGTGCACAAGTGGTAAAGATAAACGTTCTTGCTCAGTTATATCTGTTGTTGAGATTGATGGACCCAGTCCCCATTCATTTATAATTAAATGAGCAATGGAAAAGAGCAGCGTGAACGTTTTGCCAAGTATGTCCTTTTGTGCTTTACTTAAATAAAGTCACACAGGTTTGGAACGTCATGAGGTTGCGTAAATGCCAGAATTTGCATTTCTATGTGAACTGTCCGTCCCTTGTCTAAACGGTTCACTCTATATGATGTTCCACGCGTTCAAAGTTGTTACCGGCTGCAGTGAGGAGAAGCCGCACACACTCCGCTGATCCAGCCGCCGCAGCCTCATGCAGGGCGCTCCAGCCCCGGTTATCTTTCACATCCACCGCGAAGCCTCTCTGGATGAGCTTCTGCACCCGTCGACCCTTCCCCTCCCGGGCTGCCAGCGCGACGGCTGAGCAGGTGTCTCCATAGCACTCCGTGAAGTCCATCTGATTATTGTCCGTTTAAAAACACAACACTATCCCTCAAACATTACTGAAAGAGTTCGTGTTCTCTCATTTACAAACAGCGACTCGTGACTGAGTGCAAGTTGACAGGTCCAGGTCTTAAATTACACCTAATATACACTGCAGTGCCACAGGTTCAACCTCTATAATGCACAACCAGGTCAAGTTCACACTATAGGTTACACCAATAATTATGATAAGCTGGGCAGATAACAGTGCTTTGGTTGCAAAATAAGTTAACAGCTGTGTCTGCCACTCTTAGTATACTAGTCTAGTAATCTACTTCGACTTTCCCACTTTGAATCTTGAATATGTCCACAAGACAACAAAAAGAAAAATCATATTGCCTAAAACATCTGTACACACATGAAAAAGTGACGACAGAATTCACATTATTCTATTCGTTTTAGGATAAGATACATTTAATGGACATTTCCGGCGATGCTGTTTTCTGATTGGCTGATTCAGAGCTCCGGCTAGAACACGTATGTGTAATGTTTCGTTCCGACCATAAAAAAAATAAGAGAAAATAAAAATAACAACAACAACGCCATCATAAAAACAAGCCCAATATTTTGTTTGACATATTTTCAGCTGATCCACCCGCTAGACGGAAACCATGTCATCATAAGGAGATATTATTCAATAACTAACAGTACCTAGCTTAGTCATTTTTGTTCAGAATTCTTCATTCAGATCTTTAATTAGATATAATTACATAACGTAAGACAGCAATATATACAACACACGTGATATAAAGCATTGCTTGTCTATTGAACAAGCAGGGTTCCCACGGTCAGAAAACGTAAAAATATAATTTTAATATTATTCATGAAAATACGTAATAAATAAATAAATAAATAACATTTTTAAATGCAATTTTATTTATGCTCAGCTCTACAGATGTAACTTCCTTTACATAAAAAAAAAACTATTATATCCGTATGTTTCATCAGACTGCCTTCGCTACTACAGTTATTACTGCAAATATCCTGCAAATTACTACACTAATGTATTAATATAATAGTGGATAGTCTGGTTATCATGGTATATTTATTTATTATTTTGTAAGGGTTTATTTTTAAAGCCGGTGACCTGGCTTTTATTTTGAAAAATAATCTCTACTAGTAACGTTACCCTGTTCATTCAAGTAATGCCGTGCGGCTTTTAACGTTGATATTTATTTAATTTTTAGCGAAAGCATATATAAACACTAACGCGCAGTGTGTATGGCAGCTTGTAAATCAAAAGGCAACGGATATGAGACTTGATGCCAGTTATTTTAATCGGCTAGATCTGAATCTGCCCTTGGCAAGTAACGTTATGACTTTCTTTTGGATTCTTTAGCATACTAATTACTGTGTTGTGTCCACAGTCTATGGTCCACACCTATGCCAACGGTGTCAACATACCTAACCAAACTCGTCGGCGGCGCACGAGCCCTAAAAACCCCGTCCATCGATATATGAGTGAAGTATGTGTTCAGACACACCGTGAGCTGTCAGCAGGAAGCATGTGGGTTTTTGGTTACGGATCTTTGATTTGGAAAGTTGACTTTCCATACGAGGAGAAACGAGTGGGTTTCGTCAAAGGTTTCAGTCGCAGATTCTGGCAGGGAAGTACGGATCATCGCGGGGTGCCTGGAAAGGTATGGACCCAAGAGTTTATGAACAGCAGGTGCCCAGTCATAGTGACCTTTCAGGATGACAGAGCACTTCAGTACGATTAACACTTCTACTTCTTACTGATTCTATTTCAGCCTGGGCGAGTGGTGACATTAATAGAGGACCCTGAGGTAATGCCTGTCAACCTGTTAAATACTGCTCGATTTATAAGATTCAAAACCAATACAAAGCCGATATATGGCACATTACATTCCTCGAATGCGGTACACATTTTTTTATATATATTTTTTGATAAACTATTATCTAGTATAAATGACTACTACATTTATAATTACCTAGCATAAAATGTATATAAATTATAATGATAAAATGTATTAAAAATAAAATATTTTATAATATTAAAAGTTAATACTTAAAATAAACTGTTAATTATATAACAGAACATTGAATGAAATGGAGCTAGTTTTAAACATCAAATTTCTGTATCCCACCTTAAAATGATGATTGCAGTATTTCTATACAGTCAACATTTTTTTATAATTCACAATATTACATTTTTTAAAAAAATAAATTATTAATTATCTAACATAATTAACCTTGCATGAAATGTTAAATATTTATGAGTTTTGAACATAAAATGTCTGTATCCAGCTTTATAATGGTGACGCAGTATACAGTGTCTATTTATTGTTTATTCCACTTCAAAATTGTTTTTTCATTAATTTTTAAATAAACTATTATTATCAAACATAATTAACCCAGCATGAAATTAAGCTAGTTTGAAACAAATCAAATGTCTGTATATCCCACCTTAAATAGTGAATACACAGTATTATTTATTTATACGATTACTTTTAATTCACTTTAATATTTGTAATTGTATTAAATTTAATTTAATTCACTTAAATATTTTTGTACTACTTTTAAAATGAATTATTTTATTTTGACCCTCCGAGTCAACATCTGACTGTTTATTTAATGGTTTTAAAAAAGTTTCAGACCCCGTTTTGTACAATAACATTAAGTGCTATATTTGTGATATATCATTTAATGATAGTATATGAGATTTACATACATATATTTCATTTACATGTTTTAAAGTCTTATGCTACATGCAAATGAGAGTAATCCAACCAATTTTTTCCCTGTTCGTTCACTCTCTATTTGCTTTTAGGGCTGTGTATGGGGCGTTGCTTATAAGTTGCCATCAGGCAGAGAAAAGGAAGTGAAAGAGTATCTGGACTACAGAGAGAAAGGCGGCTATGGGGTGATCACAGTGACATTTCATCCCAAAGATGAAGAACACCAACCAATGCAGGACACATTGCTCTACATCGGCTCCTGTGACAACCCAAATTACCTTGGCCCAGCACCTTTGGAGACAATTGCTCAGCAGATTGTGAAGTCTGTAGGCCCCAGTGGCAAGAATACAGATTACCTGTTTGAGCTCGCCCAAGCCCTCAGGCAGCTAATACCTGAAGACTTAGACGATCACCTGTTCTCTTTGGAGTGCCTTGTGAAAGAGCTGCAGAAGCAGGAGGAGATGGAGTGATCTGCTATAGTCTGCTTTGTCCTTAATCTTCTAAAAAAACTCAGGAATTTAGTCCATTTTTTGTTCCCCATATATAGATGATGATATCCGATGCATGTTAAAAGGGATTACCTGATAAAGCGTTAGATAAGCAGTACTTAAACCACTGTTGTGCTTTTAAATAGGATTATTTAATATATGGCAGTCTCTACTGAATCTGCACTTGGTTTTACGATGTGACATTTCACATCATTTGTCTCACGTTATACCTTGAGATATGAATCAAGAACTTAAAAGGATTTCAGTATATTGCACATAATGTACACCGTTACGTCCATGAAAATGTAAATGAATGGATCATTTATTTTTCAGAGGCTGGTTAATTTTACTCCGGATACTTGAATATGTTGCAAAGCCATTTCCTATTTATTTTTTACAGTTCCTTACCATCCTAATCTTCAAATAAGCCATAGCAAGGTGAATCTCATGAACATAAACATGTTTAAATCACCAATTTACCATTTAAAACAAAGATAAAATAATTTGAATAAACCAAATTAAACACGTTCTTGAAACCTTAAAGTATTATTTTCCATTGCATAACATTTTAATGACAATTAACTCTTTCATTTCCAACCAAATTCACACTAACATTGTACTTAATAAAATATGTTTTACTTTAATGTGGTTATTTAAACAAAACAAAAAAAAATCTATCTATGTATCTTGTGTGAGATTCACCCAAGCAAAGTTTTGAGTTTATCTATTTTTATTCATAATTTATCAGTTATTGTTTAAAAAATATGTCAGAATTGTTACAACTCCATTCTAGCACAAGTCTATTGTATTGACAACATTTTGTGTACAGGATCTTTGTTGAGTTCACCACTGTTACTAGCTAATAATGATGACTTAATAATGGTGGCATATTTATTGTGAGAGACCCAGATAATAATAATAATAATAAAAAAATGCAACATTGTGGGGAAAAAATAGGCCTTGTGTTTTTATTTGTTAAAAACGATACATTTATTGGCCTTGAGAGTAAAACAAAGCAAACATCTAAAAAAATAGAGAAAAATCACTGCAGTTTTGGCACTAAGCTAAATAATGTTTCTGTTATGTACACTTTCAAATGTAAAACAGAGCTAACCATAGTAGAACCTGAAGCCCTTCCTGGCTCTATGTGTGATTCAGACGACAATCTAAAGTGTTTTTCTGTACGGAGGCTGGAGAAAAGAGTGACGGGAAAAAAAAATATCAATCCTGGATTCTGTCACATGCCAGTAAGAAATGGCTCAAAACACGATCAAACTACAAACATGCACACTCAAACAAACATGCACATGTATCCCGCCGCCTTCCACAAACTCCCATACTGCCTGGCTGCTCTCGCTAGAAGACGTGTCATTCGTTTATGCATAGATAAATGCATATGTACAGTACATAAATGCATACATACACATATAAACACACAAACACATAGGACACAAAACAAAACCCTGTTATGATGGCATGTGAGCAGAGAACTACAGGACAATGACACACATACCACAATAACGTCACAGTACTCAGACTTGCGTCCTCATGTGATGATAAATAACGAGGGCTCGGCCCGAATATATTCTTCATCAAGTTACCGATGCGTCGAGCAACCATCGCCAACACAACGAGGTGCCTGTCGCATCAGATTACTGTGGAGGTTTAGCTTGAAAAGATGCTGGCGTGCCAAAAATGTCACTTAACCAAGAATCACATGCTGCTAGGCTGTAAAATGTTTACTGAAAACAAAATGCTAAAAAGATGAAAAATCTTAAATCTTCAGTGGTTTCAAATTCTAAACGTAACTGATTCAGTCATTGGACTACCTTCACATGCTCAGATCACTGAGAACCTCGCCAGAGAGCATCATGGGGGCTTTGGAGTTGGATTTATGGGGCGATCCATAGGCATTCTTTCCTTCGTCACACACTTCATGTCAACACAGGATTATAGAGGAAAAAAATCTATCTGTACAATAATATTACAGACTGCAGGCCGTACATTCCTGCACTGGTAAACCTTAAATATTAAGTATAGTTGAAATGCAAAAATATGGGCTAGATATATACATACAAACAGTACGTACAGAGTATATGTCTAGGTCGTTAAATCACTCATCTCATGTCTCCTTCGTGCCTATACGTGCCTCCTGACCTCCTCTCATCATGTGTGTGCTCGTGGTTTAGTGGGCTCCTGGGTCTGGGTTCGAGAGGTTCTGCTGTAGATGCAGAGATCCTGAGCATCTGTGTCCTCCCATCTCACCC